ACCTTAAAAGCCGAGCTGTGAAAATATCGTCTGACATTAAACCGGTCTGTTGATTATTAAAAACGTTGTGTACCAAAATTAAATCTACATATTTGATTTTGTTGACCCAGTTAAGAATTTTATATTTGTCAAGTATTCTGCAAACGTGATAATATACGCATCAAGAATCTCAGACTTCTGGACATTGCGCAGTTCACACTGGGAAGGATTTTCTGAAAAAATGAACATCAAACCTCCATGTTTGTTTTCCCAGTGGGATGTGTCTATTGTCTAAGTCGATCTTTTCAAGTCTTTTGAACCATATCACTTTTGTTTCTGGTTCTGATATTGTCATATTTTAGTTTTGGGATTCGGACGTCGTAATTGTGTGGTTGTTGGATCCTAACAGCGGAAAACGACTCGAGAAATGTGTTTGTGAACTCCATAAATGCAAAAGTGAATCAGATGTGTGTGACTCAAACCTCTGTTCAAACTGTTTCTCTTCCCAACGGAATTGAAAAATAGTGAAAGGTGAAGGTGATGGGCAGGATTGATCCACAGGAAGAACCAAAAAGGAAACATTTGTCTGACTAAGAAATCATCCCGACTTTACAGAGAACATTTTGTATGTGGAGCGACGACAAAGTAAAATCCCGTTTGTTAATGGAGAGGAGCAGAAGACAAACAGACTGAGCTGCACTTTCTTGTTCTTGTGGTTTTACAGAAACATCACGTCTTGGTCTCTTTGCAGTGGAAGGTGTTTCTTGGTGAACAGTTGGAGACTTTCACTTTGGCGTTGACTTTTTAAATTCGTAACCGAAGTTGAGCGAAGGATCGGGATTTTGTTTTTGGTTTGAGTCACACACATCTGATTCACTTTTGCATTTATGGAGTTCACAAACAAATTTCTCGAGTCGTTTTCCGCTGTTAGGATCCAACAACCACAACAATTACGACGTCCGAATCCCAAAACTAAAATATGACAATATCAGAACCAGAAACAAAAGTGATATGGTTCAAAAGACTTGAAAAGATCGACTTTGTCAATAGACACGTCCCACTGGGAAAACAAACATGGAGGTTTGATGCTCACTTTTTCGAAGTCTGAGATTCTTGATGCGTGTGTTAATGGGCTTTTTGTTTAATACCTTAAGTGCTTTTTTTTTATAAATAGTTTTGGTTAATTTAGGAGTAGTTTTGCTTGTCAGAGTCCAACGTAATCATGCAGTGATTTAAGTGTTGCAAAATCACTGAATTTAAGTACATAATTGCAGAGTTTGTTGTTCCATTATTTTTTATATGATGAAAATGTGATCGATTATATTTGATTTTATTCAGTGTTGTTTCGATAGTTGTAGGTCCAGTGTAACTCCTGATACTTCACTTCATGGACCAGTTTCAGTTTGTTCCAAGCATCTAAGTCTGTATCCACGCCAGGTTTTATTTTTATTTATAAGTAAATAAATAAGAATAAAAATAAAACTGAATCAAATAATCATTACTTGGTTTATACAGAAGCTTCAAAACATTTTCTGTGCTGATGAGAGGTTTTGTGACTTGGACAGATCAGAAAATACATGAAAAAATAAAGCACATGATATGAAAGTGTAG